AGAGAGGCTGCTTCTTATCCACAGATTGGGCAGGATACAAAGTGTTTGGATACAGGATTTGTGTATTAGCACAGATCCCTGAAATATATGTTGTTTCACTGACATGTTTACTCTGTTTAAGGCTCGTCACATTTGTTGCTGCTTGTCTATATTTAAACTCTTGTGTAAAGTATTTACACAGTGACTTTCTGAGAACACGCCATACTGTTTGGATATTGTCAGAAAGAGTGTCTTTATTGAGGGTTTAGTGGCTTATAGCTGTGCAGTCGTAGTGTGTGTGTGTGTGTACACGTATCCTCTTCCCGGACACAGGTTCCATGGTGGTGATAAGAATGTCCTGTTAGAAACAGGAACAGCTCAGTAAACACAGTTGTTTACTTTATAAACCACCTGAAACCTTTGCTACAATTAAGCTCTCTGCAAACTCACCACACTACTAAGCACTCATCAAATAGTCATTACAATTCTTATTCTACCGTTTTACAAAGTAAAAATGTAGTGGCATTACACAATATAGTCTGTTGAGAGGTACTTGGGTGAGTGAGCCTGTGCCAGGGCTTAAGTGTGGTAGCATCTCCCTCCTTTCCATCAGTGGTAGTGAAAATCTTTCTAATCTCAGAATCTATCACTTGGATAACACAACAATTAGTTGTTATCTTTAGTTGTGGTTTTTGGCAGTAGAAATAAGCAGACCAGTGCCAGCCAATAGCAATGTAATTATTGCTATCATGCCCAGAATAAACATTGTCATTTGAAAAAAGACCTTGTTTTATGGAATGTGTTTCCACAATAAGTCCACAATATGCAGAATTCACCTGTTTTTGATGATGTTGTGTTAGAGATTGTTGCCTAGCAAATTGAAATTGTTCCCCTACAATTCACTGACATTCACATGTAAACAATGTCCAGTGGCATTTAGTGAAAGGAAGTCATAGGTAAAAGACTTCTTCTTCTGACTAACAAAGTGCAGCATTTATCTGCAGTTCTGCTGAAATAGGGTTGTGGTTTCACTTCATTTGCAAGTGCAAGTAATGATGTGCCAGAGGTTCAACCAACTTAATCACAAATAAAATGATCTTGAACGATTGAAAATGTGCTGCAGAATGATATTATTTCACAAGTCAAATATGTGCCATTGGAAGGAGAACAGACAATGGGACTATCCATAGTCAAAGACGCATTAATGGTCTCAGATTTTCCCAATGTTTGTGTGAACCACTGTGTGACACTTCCCCAGAGCCCCTTGGTCTGTCAGTGGGTGCATGGAGAATGTCAACTAAATCCTCCAGATGCTACACAGGAATTTGCAGCACTGACAACCTCCTCCACACAGCTGGATTTCTGCCAAAGCTAATGGCCTTTCTATGGCAGTTTTACTTTTCTTGTTGAGATGTGACCACGGGGCCTCACTCCCAGGATAATTGTTACTTTGATCAGGAAATGGGTTCAGTGTTCTGTTAGCTTTAAGGTTAATAACACCAGAGAAGCTAGTGTAGGTTACTCTGTATAAAGTGTGTTATGGAACCAGTGATTTAATTTTGTGAATACTTTAAATTAGTAATTGCTATTTGTTTAACTAGTGTATCTTCTGTCATATATAATTATTTGTACATGCTTTCCTTTGACACCTTTTACACTTAGCTTGAGTTTCTACATTTTTGGGTTGGTCATGGGACATTTGCAAGACTATATTGGGGTTTCTTGGATATTGGTACATTAAAAGGGCTGCTCTTGAAATACAAAATCATGCAGTACCAGAAAACCTTGAGAATCCCACAGTGACTTGAAAGAGTTCAAGTGTAGACATATACACATTGAAGATAAAATAACCAAATCCACCTGAGTTGTTTCGTCAGGGAGCCAATATAAATACAGCAGACATAGAAACTTTATTCTGTATACACTAAGGTTAACTTTTGTGTGTGTCTGCCAGAGTAAAAGAGAACCCTTTCCAGTTCAGAGATGACACAGTGACAGTGGTAACATCAATAATGTTACCAGTATCCAGGTTCACATATTGTGGTTGTAAAATAAAATAAAATATTGAAAATGAGTTGTTTCCACATTGAGTGTAGTCCACTATAACTAAAAAACCAGGGGTTAAAGCTACTTAATGAAGCTGAGCTGTTCATAGAGGAGTTGTTTATAAAACTGATAAAGTATCTGCAAACCTAGCAACCCGACAGTTATGGTTCTTCTCTGCCCACACATGCAGCTGTAAGTGGCTGAAGAGATACTGTAATGCACAAACTGACAGCTGACATTCTCTCTCTCACACACACACACACACACACACACACACCTCTTTTAATGCAGGAGATCCACATGACTTGATTAGGGTTCATACTGTAGCCTTAAACTTTCCTTCAACATTTCTACCACATTTTAGTGGGATATGTTTGAACTTGTTGATACTTCCGGCATTCACTGGCAGCGCTGTTAGTACACTAAAAGCACATAATGGCCAGTTCCAAAATAAACATGCAATTGTTCACCACAAGTTGCTGTAGAGTGAATGACTGCTTGATAGCTAAACATTAGAGGAAGTAAGGAATATCTGATGCACAAACTTCCCTGTAAAAATGCAACCACGCTTATCCAGAAAGGTTGTTCTGTTCAATTGAGGTGAACCATGAAAATACCTTTTTTTATATTTTGTGTGACACTCCTGCCATCTTTTGAGCAGTTAAATAGAGGCAAAGCCTGTCCTGCAGTCAAGTAGAGAAAACTGTGACGAAGCCATACCTCAGCTCTGTAAATATATGGATCCAGTGCAGCGCATTCATATCACAAGGCTTAATTGTGAAGAAGATTTTATTGGCCTTGTAGTTGGCACTTATTGAGTCAGGAAAAGGCAGTAAAATGTAAGGTTAAACAAAACACATGCAGAACGTCTCATTGTGAGCTATCAACTAGAATTAGTAACCTCATTTTGGTGAACGTTTGTCATTTAAAACAGAAATATAACATTGATTTCTTTATATGTTTGTCATGTTGATTTTGAGCTTCGGAATAAAGTCATTTAATCATTTATTGCAATATAATTAGTTTTTCTACAATTATAGTAATTGTTAATTTAAGTGTAGTTCTTTGTGACTTAAAAAATGTCTCTTGTGGTTGGGCTTTTGTACCCCATCCACGTGTGTAGACTATAAGACTGAAAACCTTGTTGTATCATATCTTATACATTACCAATGTCTGACTTGTATAATAAATAGCATTTATGTTAATATCCAAGTTAAAATTGTGACTGGAATTTTTCTGAAAGCTCCAATATAGCAAGTTTGGTACTTGAAAAAATACAGAAAATCCTAAACAAATACAGATATTTCATGTTAGTCTATTCACAGTACAGTAGCAAACACACAACAGTCTCAAGTCGTCTGGTGAAGTGAGCTCATGCAGGTCGTAAACATAAGAATCTCCCCCATCTCTGCAATCCATCCCATATGACATGAATGCAGCATAAGGTCTTGGTTGTAGGATACACAGATGTTTTGTGTTGGGGCTAATTACTGGAATGTCTTTTTATTCACTTCAGTGTTCCTTCATTCTCTGTTTGTCCTATATGTCTTAAGGTAACATGTATGTGTTAAAATAGAGTAAACAGATCTCAGTATGTGGAAGGTCCTTCTCTTGACCTTATTTACCTTTAAATCGTCTGTATGGAGAAATCTGTTTGTCACACAATAAACACAAAACTTTAGACTATATGGAAGTTACTTTTTAATGCAGCTGAGGAGTAATGTAAGCTCTTATGCTGCTTTACCCTTAACAGCAGCATTTCTTTCACACTTTGTTCACACTCGACTAAATCAGTAGTCATGTAAGAAGGTAATTTCCTTTCTATACCACATCTCATTGCAGTTGCACTACTACTTCTGCTATATAAGTGTAATGTTTGTTTGAACCCTATAATTGTGGGTCAGGCTTCCCTTATAGTTATTGTGCAGCTTTGGGCCTCTGTCAAGAATCTCTGGAGCTTGTCCAAAACCCACAGAGGTCGTAAGTAATGTCTCTACTATTAAATGGGTCATGGGAAAAAAAAAAAGCTAAACATTTTTTTTTTTTGCAAGTTTGAGTTCTGTTGCTTTTCTTGTTTTCCATTATTGATATTAGTTGGTAGGCGGACACAGGGGAAGAAAAATAGAAAGAAATGTAGTTGTTTATTGAAGAAGGCGTCAGGGCAGATCTAGTAGCTGTGCATACTTCATTCAGCAGGTCACAACCTAGAATAAAACTGTTTGTGCAGTGGCATCTGTACGCATATAACATACAGTACTAGATGGTTAAATTTAAGTTTAAATACCTGGTGTATCATAGACAAGTCCACAACTATGCTAAACTGATGCATGGAGTTAGCTGCTCTGTTATCGTATGTCTAAACTTAAACAGTGTTGAACTGTATGATCTACATACACATACACCTTCATATAAACTACTGACCTACACTGCCTGATATCCAAACAATGGTTCAAACACACACAGGTCCAAATATTTAAAGATATTAACGTACATGATACATATAGATCAACGTGATGCTTTTGCAGTATTATTATAAACATCAGTAAAGCATGTTGAAAGAAGGAAAAGAGGCATTTTACTATACAGTAATTTTCCCCAGAATGATAATAATAATCAAACTGATTGATGGGCAGTTTTTTGGCCATTATCAAAGATAAAGCTCAGCATTCGATATCTGTGCTTCCAAATCATCCTACCAAGTCGTTCCCTCTCCAAAGCTTGACTCAGCAGCAACCTAAAGACTTCAGGATGAGGCTGAAGTTAAAAATAAACACAATCTGGCATCAGCACGCTAGAATTTATACCAGCACTTAGATGAAAGCAGCCAAGTTATCACAAAAGTTAGGCTAATTTAACATCAAAGCAGAAGTTTCCCTTTTTTTTCTCCAGTGTCAGAGATGGATGTGGAGAGCTCTGACTAAACACCCAAAGATAAACCGAGTTCTGACAGACTGAATTGTGTGTTTGTGTTTCAGGGGAGCTTTCTCTGAGGTGGTCCTGGCTGAAGAGAAGAGGACCCAGAAATTGGTGGCTATCAAGTGCATCCCCAAGAAGGCATTAGAGGGCAAGGAAACCAGCATTGAGAACGAGATAGCAGTCCTGCACAAGTAAGTAGACTTCTATGATTTGAGAAATTAGCAATAATAGGGCCAATAGTTCTTAATTAATTGGTATAACCTGATAGTATAGTTATATTTCAAATAAAATTGCATTTTTTAAGCAAGTCTGTACTGTAAGCACGAACCTTTAGATGTTGAAATCGGAATCTGAAATACTAGCCACAAGGTTTAAGATGGTAAATTTTTCATCACTGTATCTCCATTACTGCATCATGTTAGTTGTATCACATTACTGGATGTCATATATGTCATATATATGATATATATATATATATATGTACTGTAGTAATACGACACACTATGGTGTATGTAATATGCATCAGACTTGGATAGATATATTTATACCCATATATTCAGTAAAGAAACAACACTTTCCCAGCATGGGGAATTAAAGGGCTAGTTCAATTAAATTATTAAGAAAATTGTATGTAATTATTGAGATTGAGAAAACATATTTTCTCACAAAGGCCTATTGGTACCTTGACATCCGGATAGTTTTAGTTCGAGTTCCCCTCTATTGCAGTACAATAGAGGGGAAATAGAATGTAATATGTGGTGCTCAAATGACATGATTTTGAAAGCTCAACAATAGCTTGTGTTTATGGTTAATCTGGAAAAACCGCAGACCTGTTCGTCAAGAGTTTTCATTGGAACTACTTTCTGCTAGTCTTCAACTTCAGTGCTGTGATCATCATTATGTTAGATAGATAAAATAGTCATACATTAAACATACATTAAAATAGAAAACTATACAAAAAGTAAAAGTAGAAATAAAATAGCTTTTATAAATAAAATAGCTATGTGCAATTTAAATTTAGGCTGTCGACCAATGAATGAACAGTTACAGGATTTAGCAGAGGTAGTGCATAAATGTCCAGGAAAACAAAACAGCAAATGGAGGAGGAAATTGTCAATTGTCTATTGTCCTCCCTGCCTTGACTAAGAGCTGTTGTGCAGTCTGATGGCCAGGGGGACGAAAGAGTTTTTAAGTCTGATTAAACATAATAGCATCACATACAGTAGTAATACATATATTAGTCAACTTATTTAATATAGCACAATAAAACGTTAATTAGCTCTTCACAATGCTGTACAAATTGTTCTGTGACAATACAGTTAAAGTACCATAATCCTTGTTTCTATAATAGTCATATTGCAAATATAAGTGGTTTTGCTTGTAAACTGGAGTCATATGCCCATTTTTTTACTCTACCTGTGCAAGAGTTGTTTTATTAGACAAGACAAAGGCAAGAGACAATAACACTCCCTGTAATTGTGGAGCAGTTCAAACATACTTCTCTTTAGATGTGGGGAATTACGGGCCATGGTGAAAATGGCTGATCTACATTGGGTCCCAAGTTATTTTTAGAGCTCCTGTTGCCTGGGTTACAGGAGACACAACTCTAGCCAATATACAGCTATGATCCCTCCTGAGGTGAGGATGGTGGAATGAGAGCGGTGGGGGTTAGTTAACAGTTCGGTTACAAATTTGACAAACGCATTAAACTGAGGTAAACTTGGCCTGAAAATCGCTGTTTGCTTACTCTGTCTGAAGTTTGTTTAGACTCATACGAAGGTTTCATTACTCATTTCAACACGTCATCCTCAACTCCCCCTCAGGACACAGAGCCTGGTGACAGGGTCTGACAGTATAAAAAGGCAAAAAGACACTAATCAACATTTTTGTATTAACAATGGATCAAATGACTACCTGTAACGTGAATGACTCATAGTGATGAACCCACAGATAATTATCACTCGACTCGCAGCTCCCCTCAATCCTGCAGTCTGTCAGATCCTTGTTTTGTTCTACGTTGTGTTTTGGTTCTATGGATCACAACGTTACTGTTTAGATTCTCGTCTCACCACTCTTAATCTTAATCAGTCTTATTTCCAGAAGCATTTACGAGTTAAGAACCAGATGTTGTCTGGAGTTTTGACCAGGTGTAATATCTAAACATTTGCTGATTTGTTTTGGTTTGCAAGGTCATGAAATCAACAGATTAAGATATATATTCCGCCCACTCAGTCTAGTTAAAGATGTTCCCATAGCCAGCAGTTTGAATACAACAGCCAGACCCAACTAACAATCAGTCTGAAATACTGATAACAGAATATTGATTGATTCTGCTGTTTTTAATCTTTTCCCAAATTATAAATTTAGCTGTACGGTGGCACAATTAAATCACATTTATAGTGAATTGAACTTGCTCTCTTGTTTTTGACCACATGAGACAGTTGGCACACAAAAAGCCTCCTTCCTCTTTCTTGTGATGCCAGAGCCAAACCTGTCATCTTGACTTTTTCTTAATGACCCTTGCTGTTAATGTCTTGGTGTTTATCTAATGTTTCCAACCTGTGTAAAGCACTTGTACCAGTGTTTTGATTTGAATTGTATAAAGAAGTTTATTATTAATTCAGTGTCTAATGGCACAGTTTGTGTTGGTCCAGCTGCAGAGGCAGATTATCCTCATTGGATACACTTAATCAACTCATCTCTGTTCTAATCACTGATGGTAAGATGGCTGCCCAACCTAATATAGCACTGATGTAGCCATATGATATTATCACATCGGTTAGCTGGCTGTTCATCCTCTTCCCAGTTTATCTAGACCAAATATTTACTCAACAGGACATGTGCAAATACAGTGACTAATCACACTCTGCTAAGTCATTTATGGCTGTGCCAATCAGAGGAGTTGGTGTGAAGTTGCTCTGGAGGCTCAGTTTAAAATCTAAAAAGTCATATTGACATGGTTTTATAGCATACTTGAAACATGTGTTTGAGCTAGAAATGTCAATTGGATCCAGCTCAATTAATGCTGAACTCCAAATAACTGTTATTATAACTACTTCTGACCCCAATCCTGTTGCTTGTTATTTTTTGGGCCTGAAAGTTGTGGGACACAGAGCATTCATTACTCCATGAAAATCTTAACCAATGTTATGTATCATTCTTTACATTTACATGTATAATACATTACAATAAGTAATCATATTACATTTGCAGTAACCATAATTTTAAAACATCATGTAAATCAGAAACACCAGTTTGTAATGCAGTTAACAGGGGAAGATAACAGAGAGGACATCTTATTCTTCACTTCACTGAATCCCTGCAGACTCGAGAAAGGAACTATCGCTAAAGTGATTACTGTAATGGAGAGCGCTATCTGCATTTTAGGAAACTCTCCTCCCACCACAGGAACTTTAAGATGCCGCAGATATAGAGAAGCATAATCATGGTCGGCCCACTCAGTGCTTTGGAAAACATAAATACAAAAGCAAACAAAACTTAAACAGGATTAAGAACGATGCCAGAGGACCTGTCTGTCTTTTGACTCACAATAAATAATAAGTCAATAAACTTTGTAATAATTTGTTGATAAACGTGCAGAATATGGATTGTGTATAGATGGATTTAAGAATCAGTAGATCTGCCACTTTCACTCAGATGTCAGATGTAGTTGTTCCTGGCTGCAGAGCTGGACACTCTGTTCTCTAATTTGCTGACTTGTATGTTCTGGTGGCCTGACCCATGTGTGCTGACAGAGGTCAGCAGATCACCGGTCCTCAGTTCAGCTCTCTGACAGTCACAATGACCAGTGTCCACCATAAGGTCATCACACACACAAACACAGAAAGTTAAATGCAGCACCTTTACTGCATGTATTTGACCTTCTGTAAAATTGTGTGTAAAAGTCCATGCTTGAGCTCACATGCGTTCACACGTGTCTGTTCACTCAGCAGGTTTAATCCATCATTCATCCTTCACTGGGTCCCATCTCTCCTTGTACACTGAGCTAAGCAGACAAATGAAGGTGTCCATGCATTGTTTCAATCTGGATAAGAGTCATCGCTGTAATCCAGCATGAGCTCAGGCTGACGCATAAACTGATACCTCTAGTACGACTCAAACACATGGCTCTATGTTGTCTTTGTCTTCCTACCTTCAAGTCAACTCAGTAACTCTCAAACACACATTCATAGTGCAGGCATTAAGGCAAATTAAATGAACAGGTTACACACAAACACACAGAGTGCATGATCAAGGCGAAAGGCAAAATGAGAAAAGTTGAGAACAAACACAAATGTAAACAATGCATGATTTAAAATATTCTAAAAATCAACTTTACAAATGCTTTTAATAAGCAACCCTACATTTATCAATGGCGAAAGGTGAAACAACCATTAAATGGTTAAATGGCTTCAAATAACAAAAAATCAACACTTGAACATACATCAACGTGATTAGAACTAAAATTCCGTATGTATTTGATGTTTACTTAAATTTTTTTAGTTTGGCCCATCTGCTACTATGGAGGCAGTGGGCATTATGACTTATGCTGCAGTCAGCCAACAGGGTGCGATCGAGATGTTTTGGCTTCACTTTTGGAGAGCTATCAGGTTGTCAATGTTCATATATGTCGATGGTTTAAATGGATATTACATCCTCACATATTCTCAAATTGTTGTTTTTCCTGGTGCAGAAAGAAACTTTAGTCATTGTAGTTTACAATAAACAAGGTCCTGTTGTGAAGAGAAAGGTGCTCCAAGCAGAAACATAAATGAGCTGCTCATTATGCACCACAGTCCCTCAAAGTAAATAACAATTAATGGTAAATATACAATTGTTTGCAATGTCTTTCAGTATTGAATGTTAACATCACGTGACTCTTGACCCAGTTTGTTACACACAATAGAAATAACAAGTGGAATTTATGGCCGTTGTATTGGCTTGCATTACATTGTACAGTTGTACCTAATAAAGTGGCCACTGACTGTTATAGTCAGTGGTAATACTACACACAGGTCAGGCAGAGTACCAGTCTAGATGTGAGTCTAGTGAGTCATCTTCTCACCCCTGTCACTGCGCCCACGGGTGTCAAGGGGCAGGAGAGCTCAGAGTTCAGCCAATTAGGAAACTGCATGCCACCACACAGTGTAGCCTCCTCTACCATCAGTAAGAAGTACACGTGACTGCTGGATGAAGCTCTGTGGCGGGTACACACAATGACTTTATTTATTGGAAAAGATTTCTAACTCCAAACAAGGAATTCTCATGACACCCAGGGAGATTATTGTTGCCTCCTGCAGACAAAATCTGATTAAATACTAATTGCTGAATAAAAATGACTAGTAGAGTTATTAGTATTAACTTCTTCCCTCATTGTTTTTTTTCTTCTCTCCTTCACAGGATCAAACATGCCAACATTGTTTCTCTGGAAGAGATATTTGAAAGTAAATCACACCTCTACCTTGTCATGCAACTGTGAGTATTCACGTGTGGGTTTGTGTGACTAGTTTTTCTTCCTGCAATGTGTGTTTCAAACTCCCTACTTGTGCTATCTCCCACACACTACATGTCACATGCCATTAATTGCACTCTATAACACACTGGCATGTGTGGGAACTCACACACGCACACAGGCAAACATTGTACTGTGCCTACTCATGAACACTAGTGGGGAGTTCGCCCTCACACCTTCAGCCTGTCAGCCTCCCACCCACCTCAACTACCAAAATGTCAGAGAGAGAAAGAGAAAGAGAAAGAGAAAGGACAGATCAGGAAAAGGAGCTCCAGAAAACATTAATCGTTCATGCATTAATCACAGTCAATGGCAAATCAGAAAGATAAAAGCAGAGGCATGGAGGGAGGATGTGCATTAATCAGAAGTAGTTATTGCTTTCCCCTGCAATATATTTGTGTTCCCTCCAGTTTTTGTGTCCTTGCAATGTTCCCTCTGATTCATGACTCTTTCATGTAACACCCAGTGTGTGTGTGTGTGTGTGGTAATAGGCTCAAACAAACTGCTGCAGCCACTAGATGGAGTGAAGTCTCCATCTAGTGGCTTCTAAGTCTAATATCAGGCAGACATCACACTGTATGTGGTTTCAGTCACACCACTGGGGAGCTTTTTGACTCCCGCAATAAAATACTTCTGTCTTTATAGCTTTATTATAACTGTAGTACATTTCATAAGAAATATATATAGCAGTTATTTACTACTTTGAACAAGTTTCCTTGTTAACAAAGTATCTTATATTTCCCTCATGCTCTTTCTGTCTCATACTCTGGCAGTCTACCTTTTTGTTCACAAATATTTTCAAAATAATACATTCAGACCGTGCCATTTCATTCTATTCCTCTGTTGCAACCATCAACAAGTAAAATCTTAAGCTGTCTTGGCCAATCATTGGACTCCACTTTTTCCTGAAATTTTAGTCCACTCTTGTTATTGTCTCCATTCTGTACTTTATACTACACAAGCGTCACTTCACTTTGATGAATGAATCTCTCCCTCTTTATCCAGGGTGTCTGGCGGGGAACTCTTCGACCGTATCATAGAGAAGGGCTTCTACACAGAAAAAGATGCCAGTAAGCTCATTCAGCAGATTCTGGATGCCGTTAAATACCTCCACGACATGGGCATTGTACACCGTGACCTCAAGGTCAGTCTGGGCCTGAGAATTTTTAACTTGAGCCATAAATTGTGAAATTCTAGGTATCTGTATTTTTCCATCATAGTATGGCTTTGCTGGGTCAACAGAAGTTGACTTTAGCGTTGCCTTTGTAATCCCTTCTGCACTAGCATATAATCCTTTTATGGAGATTAGTTATTACCGAGTACATGTGGTGGTGGAGGCCTGTGTACATTTCTGTGTTCAGAAGAAAACTTTGCATGGTTTATAAACATTTCTGGTTATGGTTGTGTCCCTCCTCACTGCAGCCAGAGAATCTGCTGTACTACAGCATGGACGAAGACTCCAAAATCATGATCAGTGACTTCGGTCTGTCTAAAATTGAGGGCTCTGGCAGTGTGATGTCGACAGCCTGTGGGACACCTGGATATGTTGGTAAAGATATCAGATACTTTCTTTAATAAATCTGTTTGTAATTAATTAGTTTTACATAGCAGTTTGATTTCACTCAGTTCTCAACTACAGTAACTTTGATTTTTACAGTTGATGTATTAATAGTGCTGAATATGTGCCTATTATCTTGTTTCTTTCAGCCCCTGAAGTGCTGGCTCAGAAGCCCTACAGTAAAGCAGTGGACTGCTGGTCAATTGGTGTCATAGCCTATATTCTGTAAGTACACTTTTTAAGATATTAATTATTATTATCATTATTATTATAAGGAATTATAGAGATTTTGCTTTGAAACGGTATTTTAATAGTCATGTCATTTGTACCTTGGTCAGCCTTTATAACTTCAGTAACTTCCTGGGATGCTTTTGGTCGAAAAGCTCCTGCACGTCTGTGACAAAACCTGACGTGTGTGCTCTTCTGTGTGTCTCAGGTTGTGCGGTTACCCTCCATTCTATGACGAGAATGATGCCAAACTGTTTGAACAGATCCTGAAGGCAGAATACGAGTTTGATTCTCCTTACTGGGACGATATCTCTGATTCAGGTACAGTACATAGCAGCATGATGTAGATTTTTCACAGAGAAACAGCAAACATGTGTTCAGTAAAGGGGAAACACAATGATCAAAGCTTAGAAACTGTCCCTGGGTCTGCCTTGAATATTCCTTCTAGTAAGTTCTGTCCAATATATCCAAAGTTAAACCAACCTACTGAATTCCTCTACATCTATTGTAGCAGTGGCCTAAAAGCACCTTCTTCCCTCCCTGCTGAACTCCATACTTTATCACAGAGTGAGGTCAGCCACTCTATGGGAGACTAGGGATGTAACGATACACACAACTCAAGATTCGAAACAATTCACAATACTCGGTTTACAATGTAATTTTCTCACAATTTTTTGTTTTTTCAGAAATACATATACTAGTCCCTCCTTTTAGTTCAAACTAACTGTTAATGCAAATTCATGGTGTAAGTCCTCCATAGTTATTTCAGAGGCAGCCCCTTTCCACATTTCCAACATAATGGCGTTGGCTTTGTTTACCCCTAACATAACCACACCTTGAAAATATTCCAGCCATTTTCTAGTGTATAGTTTGTGCGGTGGTAACCAACGCTAGACTATGAGTTGTTTTGGCTGCAGTCAGTCCAGCGATCCACAACATACGTTCTCACTCAATTCAATGTGAGTCATCGTTTAGTAAAAGAGGAATTGGTTCCAGGGGTACAGATGCCACTTTCCTCCAGAAGTCATATACTTCTGGGCAGTCCCATATCGTGTGTTTAAATGTTCCAGATACACTTTCTCTTTTATTTCTCTTTATCAAATTATAGAATTATTTTTCATTTCGGAGGTATGGTCTAAACTGCAAAACAATGCATTTCTTTATAAAAGTGAAACTGATGCCTCTTTATATCACAATTGATATCTCGATTCATTTTTCATCTCACCGATTTGAGTCTTCACGTATTTGTATCACAGTTTAACTCATGTGATATATCTTTACATTCCTATGGTATGCATTTAATTTTGGTTGCTTATATCGGTGATGTAATTTTTTCAGCCACAACCAAAGGATGTGATCATATCTGAGAGGTGGAACAGAGACTCAAGAGCTCACACATGGAAAAACTGTAAAAAATCTAAAACTTTCTTTAATGTTGCTTGCAGTTGTGAAAACAACTCTGAACCTGACAATGAATATTAAGTTACACAAATGTCAGAAGAAGAAAATGGAAAACTTTTTTATATGCAACAAAATTCTAATTACCTAAAAATTTAAATTTAAATGAAATCTCCAAGTTTAAACTAAAATGTTTTTTCACCAGTCTCTCTTCAGACAGTAAAAACCATCAAAGAATTGAAAGTCTTACATGGCACATTCATGTACAAACAAGAATTGAGTTTTACTCTCTGCTACAGTCTTTCTCATCCAGCAGGAAAAACTCCCAACACTGCAGTAGGCAGCCATGACTTGTTAGCATCCACCCACCTGAGCAAGTCCCAGACAAGTACAAGACAGAGACTACCTCTGTTCCAGGAGTTTGATTCCAGAGCCAGGCGAGACCTTTCTCATATAGAGAGAGTGGTGTCTCAAGTTGTCTAAGCCAGGAAATATTTTATTCGATCCCTACCTTTCACCTTCCAGGTGTTGAGCCTACAAGCCAAGGCAATGATCCCATGTTGATTTTTTTCCCAGTCGTAGTTCTTGGACTGGGTCCCTGTTTCCCTGATCTGAGCAGGGATCTCCAACTTTTAGAATCAATGATATAATCGATGCAGTTTTCGACAATATTAGAACTCAACTCAAGATGTGTTTTCTCTTGTTTACAGCAGTAAGACACTGTAATATTATTATAACGGTTTCCAGTTTTAAACTCATGTTGCAGTATGGGCTTGCATAAATAAATAGACTGCATCAATTTAGTGCGACTGGTGACTTTTGTAATATTACATTTTTTAACCTCTCTTTTTCCTTATAGCCAAAGACTTTATAACCCACCTGATGGAGAAAGACCCCAACATACGTTACACCTGTGACCAGGCTCTGCAGCATCCTTGGTACTGGTCCTACATTGTCATGATGCACTCACATTACAAAGAATATTTCTGTTGTCTGATTAAAACCTTGACACTCAACCTTCAGTGATTTTCTTTTTTTTTAACTAATCTGGGATGAGAATATTATGCAGCTCTTGACGCTTACAAAATTCTGATTATGGCTGAGGCTGTCCATGTGATTTCCATCCATTGCACACCGTGACACACTCTTACGTTTCCTTACCCGTCTGTTTCTTAGGATTGCTGGTGATACTGCTTTGGATAAGAACATCCATGAGTCTGTCAGTGCTCAGATCAAAAAGAATTTTGCTAAGAGCAAGTGGAAGGTAAGGAAGATTTCCATTTATCTTGGATGCACTTTGATTTTCCTATCTGCATGATTTATGCCCTTTAGTGCATATGGAGAGAATACACTTCAGATACAATATAAAGTCTTGTCTTGGTCTGAACTTCAGGAATCACTTCAGTACAGCCTTTTTTCATTTTAACTTTTGGGAATGGATCTTGTTTCTTGTTAGAAGCATTGATGTCAAGACCCCCTCAAGGGTTGTAAGATGAATCCATGGGGCCACAAGATGATGACAAATCTTTTCTAGCTAAATACTGTAGTTTAACCCTTAGGGCCTCTAAAAACATATAAAATAAAATGAAATAGCAAGTGAGATGGCTTCATTTTAAGCATTTTAACCCCTGCTTTAAGTTGCTGCCCAGGTCCCAGTTGGTCAACTTATAAATATTGCATTTGTGTCTTTCTCTACAGCAAGCATTCAATGCCACAGCAGTGGTTCGTCACATGAGGCGCCTCCAGCTGGGCACCAGTCACGAAGGACCCAACCCCACCCTGCCCAGTCCTTGCCGAACTCATCTGCTGGAAGACGCAGGTACAGGAGGTATTTGTTTACCTCACACACATGTAACGTGTGTAGTGCGTCTAATGACAAACAGCACTGATAGTACGTCCTCTTTGTCTCCCAGCGTGCTGTGAAGGAGGGTGCCCCCAGAACGTCGAGAGCGGAGCTGACCCTCTGTCCAACTGCACCTACCGCTGCCATCCAACCAGCAGGGTGTGACCCCTGCACCTGCTCCATGTACCTGTCTAATCAATCCCAGTGACTTTCCAATTTTAACCCCCTCGGTGGAACCAGAGGCACTATCTCCCCCCTTATCTGGTTAGGAATACAGCGTCATTCCAACCTCTCACCTGCAGGGGGAGCAAGCCTGTCCAGCCTGAGAAGGAAGACATAAAATGCAATGAAAGGAGGAGGAGGAGGAGGGAGATGATAATGATGATGATTTACCAGAGAGGATTACTTTTACAGACTGGGCTGGTAGTTTGGGATGAGTTGAAATAGGGAGAGGATACAAAGGAAGGAGGGGAAGATAAACTCCTCCACCAGCATGTCAGGGGGATTGTTTTTGCCGAAGCAGGACAGAGCTTGTTGGACACTGTTTTTACTCATGATTCAACCTGTCTCTTTGTTTGTTTTAATTGTTTTATATATTTTTTGTGTTGTCTTTTTAACCTCCTACCGTTAGACTTTGGAGCGTAAATCTAGAAACAATATCTGCATGATCAGGAGAGAGTTTCCCCCATGCATGTTTAGTTATCCTAGAAATATACCCTGTTGCAGAAAATGCAGTACAATGCAAATGGAGTGTTGTGTGCAAAGTTTAAGGTGGAAAGACAAAGAGCATTTTGATATTTTGCCGTATTTTAAATGAAATTGAGTCAAATTTTGTAATTTTACTGCATTCTGTCTTTAAGTCTTGCTTTTAGACAATCAGTGTCAACATAGTTTATGCAATGAAAAGTCCATCTACGTAGCCTCTCTTGTGGCGATATAGCGTTTCCATGCTGTGGTTAGGTTTTGAGAGGGAAAGGCTTCTCCCTTGTCCTTTTTTAACCCCAAACCTCTTTAACCACTCGAGCACAGGGATATATCTTTGTCTAAGGTGCCTTTAGGATATACAGTAATGATGGGTTTATTTTCGGGTAACTTCTGAAATATTTGGTCTCTTTCTGCAGAGTTCTTGCAGTACAGACTCTTGCTGTAACTTCATATTTTGTATGTATCACATTTTCAGCTTTAAAATGCAGTTTTATGCTTTTTGTGTCAAAGGAAAGTACTGTAATCTCAAAA